CTGTCGAGGCAAAGGTTTGTCAGGAGACGATTGTTGTTCAGGAGTAAGAGTCCAAGAGTAAGTCCAAGCACGCAGCATCATGTGAAGTGTACACCAGAGCTTCTTGATCTGGACTAGCTGACAAATTTCCTGACTTAGCTGACATTTTCCCACAACTTTCGCCAATTGGTGGCGTAAATTTCGCTCAATAAAAGACGAATCGTGCGAGTTATCAGGTAGCTCACTTCATTGTTAAGCGTAGCTGGCCATTTTCAGGAGAGTTTGTTAAGACTTGCATAGCAAATAATGTTTCCCGTCTTTTGAAAAACAATTGCCGAGCAAACAATTGACAGTATTGCCCTGGCTCATATTCGTCCGTGCGTCTGAACGAGTTGCTTCGTGGTTATTTGTGTTCCTGACTTTTGTGAAAATTCGAATATATTTACCGTTGCAATACGAGTGACTCAGAGAAGAGTAAAGTTGACAGTGGATGTTGAATCTTCAATAATGAGTGGACGACGAAGTATTTCTTCACGGACGTGGATACAAATGCGGTTTGCTTGATTTGCCACCAGGGCGTCACAATTTTCAAGGAGTACAATGGTGCGTCGCAGCGAAGAGATTCATGCAGACTCGGCAGCACAGTTACGTAAAAAAGCAGATTCTTTCGTGAGGTCCTCCATGGCGCTGGATGACAGCACAGACAATTCAGTTACTCGCTTTCGTAAGAGGCGTCAATGATACGTTTGAAATCACTGAAGGACACGACAACAAGACAAGTTCTGTTTGAAAGAGTGGAGAACTGCATCGAAAGACTGAAGTTGCCTCAGAAAAATTCGGCTAGTGTCACAACAGACGGGTCTCCCAACTTAACTGGTTAAAACGATGAAATTTTGAAAAGAATTGAAGTGAAAGTCAAAGAGACGAATCCAGATGATATTTCCTATTTCTTCATTGCATCAGCCACCATGAGGTGTTTTGTAAAACTGTTCCGAATTTGAAGCATGCGGTAAGCGCAGTCGTTAAGGGTGGATTTCTGAACAGAGAACTATCCGCTAATGCAGCTTTATTCCAGGGAAAATACATGATATTTCCTGGCATAATCGGATAGTTCTCTGTTCAAAAATCCACCAAAGCTTGTCAATTTCATTCGAGTGAAAGGGCAATTCATTGCTCTGCTTGAAGATATCGTTGCGAAGCACGCCGATATTGCGTATCACACCAATGTCCGTTGGCCTAGTTTAGGAAAAGCGATGAAAAGAGCGTGGGAGCTGAAGGATGGAATCATATTTTTGGAAATGAAGGGTAAAGATGAGGATTTCCCAAAGTTCAAGACACATATTGGCTCTCTGGCTTTGCCTTTGTCGTGGACGTGATGGAGCATTTAAACGACTTGAATCTGAAACTGCAGGGCAAGGGAGTGTTTGTGCAGGAACTCTACTCGACTATTAAAAACGTTCCAAGTCGAGCTACTCCCGTTTTCGAGGCGTGAAGGACAGCGTGTTTTCGCATTTCCCCACTTTGCATAGTATCGCCGTGTCCTTCAATACGACTGACAAGTACAGCAAGATGGTGAGTGATTTACGTGAGTTTTGCCGTCGGTTTTTCGACTAAAGAAAATCGAGAAGGAGCTCGAGCTGCTGTCTCGTCCATTTACCTTTGACTCTATGAAAACTCCAGACGAACTTCAACAGGAACCGATCGACTTACAGTGCGATTTACCTCACGAGGAAAAGTTCACCTCTGGTATAACTCATCAGTGAAACAAAATTCTCCAACTCACGAGAACTTGCCAAAACAATGTCGGTGCTCTTCGGTTCCATTTATGTTCGCGAGCAAACGCTTCGTCGAATAGCAACAAATCAAAGTTGAGGATAAAAATGACTGGCTAACATTTGAGTGCAGTGCTGCTAATCTCCGTGTCAGAAATGACACCTGACTTCGAAAAACTCATTAAAAAAAAAACTGTGGGCAGCTGCACGTGTCCCACTGAGATGCTAATAAGTTTAATTATTTTTTTAATTTCGAGTATTCGGTGCTTGTGGCCCGCATGTTAAAAAGTTTGCCCACCTCCGATCCAATGCATCAGGTCGGGTCGAGTCAAAAATTCGCGAAAGGGAAAGTGCTAGCGGGAAAGGATTCTGGTGTCTTCAGTGAAGCCACCATCCTTTTTCCTTATGCACGCTCTCTGTTTTGTCTCATCCGACAAACTTGAAACTTTCCCGATAAACTCAAAACACCATTAGGAGTTACGTTTCACATCCTCATTCCACTAACAAACTCTTGGGTATTTCTTTAGGGCAATCAGTAGGATCCCCCACATGCCCTTTAAAGGCAGGAATTCGTCGAGTTCTCTGCGAAGAACAATCCTAGGTCCTTGAAACTTTAATCAACTTCATTACACACTTCAAAAGAATTTTGAACCGAATTTAATTAAAATCGTTAAACTCCTTGTTGCAATTCCAATTTTTGCCAGTGTATGGTGTCAGAGCTCTCCCAAGACTGGACGACTCCAATGGCCTCACACGCAGTTCTCATCCACGCCAATATGATACGGAAAACACTGGACTCCATCGGAATGGATTATTACTACTTCCTCACATTCGCACTTGCCCACTTCGCATTTTCGTCGCATTTCACCACTTCCTCAAGGAGTGCGGCAACGCAGTCGTTGATTTTCCAGTCGTTCTCAGATCACCACTCCCAAATCTCGGAGACTCGCGTGGTTTCGAACTGTCGCCTTCGAGATTCGTAAATCCGTTTTACCCGACAGGACATCGAAGTGACTTCAGGAAATGGTTTCTTTTTCTATTATTTTCCCTTCGTTGACTTTTTCTCAATTCTAGGCCTAGGTGATGACCCTATTTTGTTTCTCCCATGAAGGCATCCTTAAGAATATAAAATCCCCAAACTGCAAGTCAACTTCATTTTTTTTTCTTTTATTTTCCCTTCGTTGACTTTTTCTCAATTCTAGGCCTAGATGATGACCCTATTTTGTTTCTCCCATGAAGGCATCCTTAAGAATATCAAATCCCCAAACTGCAAGTCAACTTCATTTTTTCAATTTTTAATTTCTTTTATAAAAGCCTATTTCGGGTTATTGGCTGTTTCTTTTTCGTTCTCTTTTAACCTGCAGATTTTATACCGGCCCTTTTTTTCTTCTCAAATTTGACGGATTTTTGACGAAGTGAAATAGCTCCAGATGCTAGGTCAGCATTCGATTTCAAGAGACGTTCTTGACGCTGTAGCATCTTCCTCCTTTTTTTTTCTCACTGGGGTCTCACCTTGTACATGCTGAGCTTCTTGTGGGTAAACGAGAATGATCCTGTGTGGGGCTTCGCATTTCCCCACTGCTGAGTTTCACGTTTCCCCACTTAATGTTTGGGGGCTGGTGATGAACTGAGAAGGTGAAAAAAATGCGAAAGGGCCCCTCTGGATCCCATTGCAAATGAGGCAGTACCTGTGCTTTGTTATTTCTTCCGCTAGCTAACTAGGTCCTTTAACTAAAGGGGGTTTTAGAGAGAGGTGTGGAAAGGCACGTCTTGGCATCCCTGCTCTAGCGTATTTCTTCGTTTAAAGGCCTAATTTGACGGGAAATGAGTCAATACCACGTAGAGTGAATACGGATGGGTGAAGTTGATTCAGTGCAAGTGGGCTGAAGTGGTAAAACGTGCGTCTTGGCGGAAAAGCGAAGTGAGGACGTTTTCATTTTCTCAAGTTATTACTTGCTTCCTGACGGAAAACAAAACCTGGAGAACTAGCTCAGTTATGGATCAGTCATACGGTCATTCACTGAGCACCATGACACTGAGTTTACCTCCCTTCGCTATTTCGTAGTCATCCAACTTTTCAGCAAGCAAAAGCCGTCATGTCGATGACTTGCATAATCAGGGGAGGGGATGGAAGGAAAGTAAAGCCTGCGGGATGCGAGATGATTCCTCGGGATTGGCCCACAAAATTGTCTACACTGCCATGAGAAGCGTCTTTCTCGTTTTGTTCAACTATTGATCCGTCAAATGCAAGTGCTGGAAGGTAACTTTTTGGCGGTGACTGGCACCCCGACCCAGACTCCATGCTGCACGATGTACCGATGTACCGATGGAATGCTTGCTGTTTCCTCCTGAAATTTTTTGCTGGGTTATTGATGCCTAACAGCTACCATCAAAATACCGTAGATGAGAAAGGAGATTGTAGCTTCATCACAAGTGTAACTGAATTTTCACGAATTTCAACAATATCAGGAGTTCTCGTCGTCACAGAATCTATGACGGAAACACTACATCCTCTCCATCAGTCACATGATTGCCCATGCCCTATTTATTCCGTTCGTTTCATAACTTACAATCTTGCAAGAGAGACATGTAAATGCGTGTTTTTACAACGTAAAAGACTCTCAACTTATGCTCTCTAAGTTCAACTCAAGAACACATTTATTGCATACTTTCTGACAGTAAAAATATCACACAGGAACCAGAAAAAAGTACATGTTTAGTGATGGAGTTCTCACCAAAACGGGCACCTGGAAGAAAACAACTTTGAGTTAACAAATAAATAATAAGATTCAGTTGAAATAGATTCATCGTTAAGGGTGGTACAACTATGATGTACACCAGTGATGAGCAACCTGTGGGGCTTTGCCAACTGAATTTTTTCCCCCTGTCATCTGCCATTCGGAGTAGAGCGCGCGTGCGTTCTATTCAGTTGCCCACTGCAGGAGAAACGGAAGCAAGAAATAAAACATAAAAGCTATATTTCCGCCACAGTTGCGAATATCCCCTCACACTCTTCTTGGTAAGTGTACCACAGCTCTTTGAGCAAGCGGCTTGCTTGTTATTTTACTCAGTTAAATGGTGAGACAATTTTATAAATTAGTTATTTGCATATCATTAGCATAAACAATTTTAGTACCTGGTTTACTAAGCCAGGCTTAGGATTATTTTGGTATTCAGCAGGCATAAAGCCTGTAATTCAGTAATAATAAAAAATACATGTGGCCCGCCGGGAACTTGAAAGGTTCACTTGCGGCCCACAGTCAAAAAAGGTTGCTCACTGATGTAAACGGTCATTCAAGCTTGGAATGGACTCCCAGTAAAAATCACAAAAAAGTTCACCAGGAATTGATTTCATCTAGTGGTACTGTAAATTTCCTTGATAGCCTTAGGGACCAAGATTTTTTGGGTCACCCTGTATAAGGGAGGGACCAGAAGGTATTCACTTCAAGGGCTCAGAATGTTCCCTCAGCAGATACCTTCTGGCATTCATACTTCCTTCCCTAGTTGCAAGAATCATAAATCCTGGCTGCCGCTTTTAACTGCTGCAATGTATGGGGCCAATGTCTGCACACAACTCATTTGAAGTGTCCCCACAGAAAATTGTCCGAAAATAGGTTAAGCACAAAATGGCTGCTGAATAGACAATCAAACAGGATTGAAAATTATTGCATACATAAAAACAGTGGTCATATTTGTATTTCAAGAAATTACCTGCAGAAGAAAACAGCAAAATTCTTTTTCCTTGAGTCCAATGACTTTTGGGACAGCTTGTATGGTATGACGAAATACTTAGCAAAAAATAAAGATCCTGATCCAGCATTAACTAGTGCTAATACTAATGCTTGGTCAAGTATTATAGAGTATTTCTTGGACTTGTGAAGAAACAATAGGAGTATTACACAACCATCATTAGAAACCCTAACAGATAATAACACTAAAATATTATCACAATCTAAGACACTATACATTTACCCTTTGACTTATTCCCCACCATCCCCTGAAATGGCTTATGAAAACAATGAGGGATAGAGGACTGGTGTCCCAAGGGTTCTCACCATCCAATGTAGCACTGGCACAGGTTTTCATGGGAAGTGGCTTGCATGATAAGGAGCTGGACCTGTTCTTCAACAGGCAGGACATCATCTCCATTGAAATCCCTACCTGTGAGTTTCTCCTTCACACGATTGATGATCCCCACTGCCTTCTTGTTCAATATCATCTCTCCTTCTGGTGGGGGAACATCTCCTCTGTCCCCATCTCCACCCCTCTCCTCACCACCTTCTTTCTCTTCCTTGTCACTTCCACTCCCACTCTTGCTGGATCGATTCCCTTTCTTTCCTTGGATGTTCTCAACCAGTCGCCAATTGAGTAAAGGATCATAGACAAAGGCCTCAAGGACAGCCATGACACTATCTCGATTCTTGCGCAAGACCCTCATCACACTCTCACAAGTCATGCGATATGTCCCCTCAATTCCCGTGACCTAGGAGTAAGAAGATGCAAAGACCATTCAAGCAGAAAAAAGAGGAGCACAGTGAGCACTGCACTTCTTGTGGTACCTCCATTGCATTGATGAGCATGCGTGTGAGACGGAATGGGATCTTCTCTGGAAACTTCTCTCGTGTCATGGCCACTTCAAAGCAGTCACCAAAGTCAATATGGAGCACCTTCCCACTCTTGCGGTCCAACATGAGGTTGCTTGGATGACTATGTGAAGAACAAACTCTTATCATTGACATAACCTGAAAGAACATGATGAGGATGAAGGGCAAAGGAATGAAGACTTGCCGGTCTCCAAGTCCTAATATGTAACCAACCATAGACATGACAGCCAAGGAACGAGTATAATTGGTACGATGGTCAAACCACACTTCAGAACTTGGGGATTTGAGCCACAGCAACCTAGCCAGATCATCTCCAGCTGTGTGATCCAGGGCATGTTCAAAAACTTCTACCTTCTGCATCAACATCAGGTGATCATAGTCTGGTGCCATCTGTCAGAATGAATGAAGGAACTCAAAGCTATGACTAATTTCATCCTAAAGCCCTTAGGAATGTATGTATTTTATACAGTGAGGTAAAAATAATAAGAAAAGAATGTACTCTGAGCATTATGCGATGCTCAATGTTGAGAAGGATCTTTTTCTTCTCTCGATAATCCCGGATCAGTGCATGAAGTGTGTCACAGTGAGGGACCCAGGAGATGAGTCCACTATTGGTTGATAGTGGAATTACAGCGTATCTCTGCATGGAAAGGCACATCGTTCTTGTTCATTATTAAGACTGAATTATGCAAATGGCTAAATAGGATGATTAAGGAATGTCCAGAGAAAATGAGACCTGAATGGTGAGGTTTCTCCTCAGGGTTTCAGGTTCTTGGAGGAGCATGGTATTGACAAGACCAAAGAGCTGCATAACTCGTTCGTCCTGCCTTAGATCCTCGTGTCCTTTCAGCAAGAACATGTAATCTCTCCCATTGCTTCCTATAAGCAACCAATTCTTATTTATGAAGTACAAAATCTAACTGCCAAAAAGATGACAATCAAGTACAGTGCATAACCTTGTAGGACAAGTTTTCTTGGCCTCTGTTTGGAAGTGATGACCTGGAGGGAGGGCTGGACCTTGGCAATGCGCACAACAGGTTTGTGAGGGACATAAGTCCCAGGGACAGCCAACTCCAGGTCCTTGCTCTCCAATAACTTTGGAGATACATATTGGAGCTCCAGACTAGTAAGTTGAGGAAGTTGCTTGCTAATTCGACGAAAGACATGATAATGAAGGTCCCAAGCCTGGTTCAAATCCCGGATGTTTCCTGTTCGCTGGTACTTCTTGCACCATTCATGTGCCTCCATCAATTCTCTTCCATAAGCCTACAGCATGAAGAGAATCTCATTATTCATAAATGCCTCTATAGAGGATACTGGAATTCTCAGCTCAGACCTGATAGAAGGAGGTCTCCTTGAGAGTCTGTGGTCCCTTCTCCATCATTGCATGCAGAGGCTCTAGGGTAGCAAACATTCCTTTGATGTTTCCTTCTGTGTAATACAGACGAGATGCTTCTTCCAACCCTTCATACCATAGCTCATGCCATAAGATTGCTACACGGATCAACTCCTCGCTGACCTATTGGAAATAATTTATTCATTTTTCTCACCACACTACCACTGCAATATTACCAATCATATGAGAGAGACATAACTTGAGCAGCTCACCATGAGAGCCTGCTGTACCAAATTGGGGGAATGCTCCTTCATGTTTGAGAGGATCTTGTTGGCAGCTAGCTGTCTGGCAGACACAGAGGATTTGGAAGCCACAGTCAATGGATAGACCAATGCTTGTGGATGAGCTCGACCAATATCCATGAGAAGCTGTTGAATAAGTTGAGCAACAAGTGGTCTGGGGACATCAATTCGAGCAATGAGCTGTGGAATGACCTGAAGCCAAGTATCCACATTGATGGTTCGAACCCCATCAACAAGAGCTTCATGAACTTCATCATGATACCCATAATCAAAGCACAAAGTCAACAGTCTCAAGGTATCCTGGAGAGAAGATCCATGAGCTAAGGAAATAGAACGGAAAAAGCCCATAACAGCAGCCACACAGTAAGGCTTCCACTGGATGGGATCCTCCTTTACATGATGGAGCACAGCCTCAAAGTTCATGCATGCCCAGGCATGCCATGCTTTATACCAATTGGGATCATGCTGTGTGGCAGCTGAATAATAACGCAAGACAGCTGGGATGGATGAAGCAGTGATCCCCTCTAATTCTTCTTGCCACATCCCTAACCGAAGATAACATTTGGCAAGGAGGCTGTTCAGTTCACAATGTTTCTCCATGTCCTCTGAATTTAAGTTGCTCACTCGTGGATGCAGAATGCGGTTCACATACTCTTGAAGTTTCCTAAAATAGGAAAGAATCACTGAAAAATTCTGCTAAGAATATTCACAGCTACAGAGATAGAAGGGAAATCACACACTTGAATGCCACATCCTTCTGATTCCCCATCCAGAGGTGTTTAGCATATGCATATGTGACCTGAGGTGAAGGGCCAAATGGAAGAGGCTCACTGGGATCCTCTGAAGGATCCTGGCCAAGGAGCATGATGAGAGTTTTATGTGATGGGCCCTGCTGCCCAGCCTTACGACACAGAGAAGCATATTTCAGCCATGCTTCTTGTTCCTCATAAGGGCTCAGGACAAGACTGTGGACTTGGAGAATCTTTTGCCAATCTTCTACCACTCTTTGACACCCCTACAAGAAGTTGGCAATATTCCTGATGTTCTCAATTTTCGAAAAGAAACAAAAAGAATGGGAGAGAGTGGTTTAACAGCATACCTGAAGTCGTTCCCACCACATCCGCTTGATGAAGGGTTGTCTCTGTGGGACAAGTTTATATGTGATCACCTCTTCAAGTTCAGCCAGCATCTGGACAGAAACCATGGCTGAATAGGCTCTCTGGTAGCTCTCCCCAGCCATGGAAGTAAGCTCTGTGTCCAAAGATTCTCGAGCAGAATCAATCCATTTTTGAGCATCCAAGAAATCTCCCTTGTGAATGGAGAGGACAGCCCTGAAGAATGATCCCTGGGGTGTTTCCTTGGGAATGAGACCAGCATATTTCTCCATGGGTTCCCACTGCTTCAGTCCCCAAGATGCAGCAGCAGCCATGCTAGCTATACTTTCCTCCATGTCACCCTGCCATGTCCCTGCCAGCTCACCTAGTTTCCCCCTTAACAGAAAACATTTTCTTGGTTCAAAATCCTGCAGACTCCAAACACAAAAGGGAAATGCCTCAAACAGACCATTCCCCAAGAGCTTGAAGACATCTCATCTGTCCAAGCTTTGCATTTTCATTTTGGGTATCAATAAGCAAATTTTTTTCATATGCAGCCAAAGCTGCCTTCCAGTCATGCAACTTCTCATACCAATCCTCTTTGACTTCTAGGTCATGGCTCAGATTTTTCATTGCATAATCCAGCAATCCTGAAAGAGATTTAAAAAAATAGCAATTAATAAAGCCTTTTACAAGGCATATGACTGCACTACACATTAGAGCATAAAATTCTCACCTGCAGCAGCTTCTTTTTGCTGGAGCATCTGATTGATGGAAATGAGAGCCCCAATGACCTCAGTTGTTGGGCCCTTGTGAAACTCATCTTCCTTGTAATGCAGGGCCTTAGCATATGCCCGACATTCCATGGCTCGTTCACCTAGCACTTGTGGATCCAATGGTAATGGTCCCTGCAATATGCAAAATTTCCTTACATGAACATGCACAAACTCAGGGAGAGAATATGAAATAGATTCTATAAAGTAGCACCACAACCTACCTTATCACAGTGTTCCATGAACTCAGCCAGATTCAAGATGGTCTGAGTCACCTCAGGGATGTCCTGTACTAAGAGGGCCTCCTCAAGGGCCCGAATCAGAGCCTTCTGATGTGCTTCTCGCAATTCTGTCCAACATGACACAAATGCTGCATTGAAGAGATCCCTCAGAAGATGACTATATGTCTGAGCCAGATTAGAACATGATCTCAGGGCAGGAGATGAGGATTCCTTCAGCAGCTTAATGCTCAGCTGCCGCAGCCATTCAAGCCAATCATCTTTTGAGACACGATGGGTCCCTTCCCAAGCCTTCTGTAGGTTCTGACTGCTTACATTCAGCTGAATACAAGGGGTCATATCAGAGATTGAAGTTTGATGCAGATGTCCATATCAGAAAATTATGGATCAAAGGGATACCTTATTCTTGATGGTCGTCATGACTGCATCTGGATTCTTTATGCGTTGATGCATGGTACGAGGACGGGACAAAACCGGATCATCCTCTTCATAACAGCTTATGCCTCCCTGTATTGGTGCAAGGATAAACATTGAGTTCAAATAAGGGAAGAAGCCTTGGTATCAATTAACAAACATAAGCCTGAAGTTAATAGAAGCTTTATGAAGGAGTAAATGCAGGGAAGAGTGGTGCAAAATGAGGGGGGGAAAAAGTCAGCTGTACAGAAGCTAATATTACTCTGGCAGAAATCTTATGCCTCTCAAATTAATGCTCCATGAGTGCTCTATTCCATGACTTATTTTAATGCATAATATTATATTTACCCAATTCTCTAAATGAGTTGTAATGTTAAAAAATGGATACATGATCTCATTTGAGTATCACCCACAATGAGACAAGGAAATAGTTGATGAAACATTTTCTTTAACAAAATTATTTTGAAGGTTTACACCTTCAAAATAATGTCAAGATACTCACTGCTTGTGGAAATGCTGTCTGTAATTTATTTGTATCACAGAGAATGCACTAAAATTTATTTCATGAAAATGTAAAATGTCTAGATTATTTAAATAAAAAGCAATTTATCATTCACACTTGAATTAGAAAATTCTGCTTCTCCACAGCTCAAAATGAAACAGTTTCAGCAAGAGTTCTTCCATTTGGCACCATAAAGCCTGAGCTGCATTGTTGTTAAGTTGTTTTTAACTATCCAATGTCTTCAGGTCTCAGCTGATGAAGGAAGGTCTCAATGGTTGAAGGGGTGTTCTGAGGAGAATGTCTAGGAATAGGACTAAGGAAGAGAATAGTCAATTTTCAATCTAATACGAGGGAGGCCCCCCCAAAAGTTTCTGGGTTTGACACCATAAATTGATGCTAGGGCAAAGTGCTTCCTGCTTCAGAACCATTCACGACTTCTCAACATAATCCCCAGATGCACTTTTCCATGCACCCAAAACCACTTATTGAAACACTCTCTTAAACACTTGGTTTCAATGGATGCCAGGATCCCTTCCATGCTTTTCTTCAGCTGTTCCTCCTCATGAAACTTGATTCTGTGCAGCTCCTGCTTCATTTCACTGAACAACCAAAAGCCAAAAGGAGCCAGGTCCAGGGAATATGGCGAATGTGGCAGCTCTTTCATTTTCCATTTCTCCAACTCAGATGTCAACCTCGCCTTGTGAGCTGGAGCGTTGTCATGAAACAACATCATCCCCTTCAAGCCACACTTCTTCTGCCTCTCCTTTTGGGAGTTGAACACTGCTAGCAGGCAAACTTTTGCGTACCACTCGGCAGTCACAGTTTGCCCATTTTCCAGCAGTACTGCCTTCACCAAGCCACTTCTGGTGAAAAAAATGGCAAACATGACTTTGAACCCAAAATTGACATGGCACAGTTTTTTAGGAGGAGGTTGCCCTTTTGGAAGCCATGTTGATGATTGCTGCTTCGTCTCAAGGTCATAATGATAGACCCAAGTCTCATCATCTGTGATGATCTTATATACATCAGGAGAGAGCCCCAAATCGAATCTTTGAAGCATGAATTGGCAGAACTCCACGTAGGCCACTTTTTCATGCTCTTTCAAGAGATGGGGGACCCAACAGGCCAAAACCCATCTCCACAGAAGCTTTTCGTGCAAGATAGTTTGTATGGCTGAGTTTCCAATCCCTAGGGCCATGTGCATTTTTTCATACACGATTCCTGGATCGTCCTTCAGCATCTCTTCAATGACAGCAAAAGTTCTTTCATGAGTGGCAGTTGCAGGGCGCCCATCACGATTGGTGCCCTTCAGCCCAAAGTGACCTGTCTTAAAATTTCGGAACCAGGTATTCACAGTCTCTGGACATGGGGCATCATCACTCCAGGCAGAAATAAGGTGGTCATGGCTTTCCTTAGCTATGAGACCATATTTCCAATCATACAAAATCATGGCACAAAATTCTTAATGGCTCGGTTCAGGTAGCACCAAGGATTTAGGTCTCTTTTGTCTTAGCTCATGACCAGACATTTTCATGAAACCTCACAAAATTTGGCATGAAATACCCTGGAACAATAATGAACAAAATGGCAAAGGTTATAGGAAAAAAGTTATTTTAAAGCGCAGACCCCAGAAACTTTTGGGGGGGTGGGCCTCGTAATGGACTATTTGGTGTGGTTTCTTCCTTCTTCAGCTCTTCTTTAGCTGATTACAGTAACCAAGAATACTGCAAGAAGGCCGCAGCTATAAATAAGAATCTATTTGGTGACAGGGAAGAGGTTGTGGTCAGTGGTGTTTGAGTTGGAAAAAGAGCAACAGAGGTGCAAACTGGAGTTGGAACTATTGTTGCTATCTTTTTCAACTTAGAAACTTTAAACTTTCAGGAAATACAATTTAGAGCATTTCCTCTCTGATATAAAAAAAAAAAAAAACATAAGCAAAACATTTCTATGGTAGGCTTTATTAAGGCTCAAGCAGGATGCCTTTTTTTGTGATACCCAGTATTTTGAGAGAAATACAGAAAAATTCAATTTTCCAGGTCACACATTTCAAAACCAGTAAATGGTGTTGAGAGCAAGAATATGTGATTTCCTCCAGAAAGAGATAGAGAATGAGGCAAATGTTCTGCAATGCCTTGAAGCTGTGTATGGCAACTAGCACAAGAGTAAGATTCAAGTTCATGAGTGGCATGGAAAATTTGAATTTCCCAGCTTAAGAGCTAAAATCATGAAAGATCAGGACCACAAGTAGAATACTGCAAAAAAAAAGTGAAAAACAAATGGCCCTAGTGATCAGTAGAATGGTAGATGTATATCTGACAGGTACCCTAGTTTGGAAATGCAGTCATAGTATTGGACAAGTGGGAGATAACCAATGAAGAGAAACCACATTTCCCCTTCATTCAGCATTTACTCCAGTCTAGTGCTACTCTTGTATTTTCAAAGCCAATAGGAAAATCTAAAAAATCTATTTTGTGAGATGCCCTTTGAAGTATACAACAGTCATCATGTGAAACATGGGACAAAAACATAACTATCAAGTCTCTGAGATCTAGGAGGCTTGGACATTAATATAACAGAATCGAATTTAAAAATATCAACTGCACAAATTTGCATTGTATCTCAGATGAAAAACCACTCATTGCCAGCTGAGATTGGGGTGATGATGCTGTGCCAACATATTCACAGGAATGATGCTTATGTATGCAGGATGAAGCCATTCTCAGTCACACACCCAAATGAATGGTTGTGATTTGTTGGTGGAGATAGAACAGATAGATCAGAAATCTGCCTCTGTTGACACTTTGAACAATTACACCCTGTCATTACACCCACATTTTGTCATAACACTATGTGAACTTGGAGTGTTCAAAAGAATATTATCTATTGCCTTCTGAATGTACTTTGTCAAAATAAGCAAAAAGTGGAGAAAGAACAATGCAATGAATGTAATGAATCACCTGATGATATGATTACTCTAGATGACTAGGTGCAATACAAGAAATGTGGAACACGGTAGCATGAAGCCTGCCTTGCCTATTGCCTGCTTGATGGAGGCAATTTCAACCATGATTACATATTGCAAATAGCCTAATTCTCAAACTTCTTTTATCAAGGTAGTCCTGAAGTTTTGACACTTTACCCCTACTAAGGGTCAAAGTGAAAAATTGATCCTTTTCTGAAATTGATAATTACCGACATGAAACATTATTTTTTTCATATACTGTATATATATTTTCAAATGTATACAGTTCAAGTGAAAAAAAAACTTTAACAAAGCAACATATTAATTTCTTAAAAAATTAAAATTGTGATCATTTTTCAATTAATTAGGGGGAGACTATGAGCAACACAAAAATTGCTATGCTTTGCAGAAAGTAAAAATTGTTGGTACCATCGAAAAGCTTGTATTCCAAGGAAAAGTATTCTTTTTGCAGCATAATTTTTATATCAGGCTCTAGCAGTTCCTGTGATATTCTTGAAAAATCTATCATGTTAGTAAACCTGGCATTCCCCAAGCCACAGCTAAAAAAAAAATCAACCAAATTTCTTCAAACTCATAGGACTCCATGATAAAACATACAGCTACAGATTTTTGGGAGCAAAAAAAATGATTTTTCTAATTTTTTCATGCAAAAAGGAAAATTTCTGCTATGTTAATTGAAAACTTAATGGCAGTTGCCTCTTAGATCCATACTCCAGTCATAAAACATAAAATTCATCAAAACCAGTCCTAACACATGCCAGGTTTGTCATTTCTGAGTGCCCATGCAAAATTTCAGGTTTCTAGCACCAATATTGTAGGAGTAATTTGGGAATAGTCATTGTATGTATGCAATATGTGTAAATGTGTATTGCAAAAAATTTTTGTTTATAGTCTCCCCCTAAGTCATCACTTTGCCCTGCTTTCACCTACAAAGGTGACAGAGATTACATCCTCTAAAGTATTGTCACAGGCAACAAGACAAGGCTGCGCCAGAGAGAACAATGAAGGTGAGAAATGACACTGTAGGTCCCCCAAAGGCAAATTACGAGAGTGGTCAAGAAGTTTTGCAATTCAGGTATGTATAATGGGATTAGGGATTCCCTGCTTTGTTTACATAGTCCCTTCTTTGATAAAATCACTTAATGTAACATTTAGACTCTCAGTTACTGTTCTACTGTGAGCTAGTAAAGATGACTTCTCCAGACATGAGGAAAATTGAGTATTGGAGCATAATACAATTCCGGACAAAAGAAGGATCCACAGCTAAGCAGATCCACGATCACATGGTGGTTGCGTACAGCACATATGCCCCCTCGTATGTCGCAGTAACTAGGTGAGCCAAGGAGTTTCAGTGGAGGCATGAGAGCCTGGAGGATGACCCTCGGTCAGGACGACCACAAGATGCCACCGACAGAGTAACTGTTGCCCTAGTCGAGACCTTGATACTGAATGATGTAATATGCACTGAGGTTGGTATCTCACATGGAAGTGTGCTGGCTGTCATTCATGACAGCCAGTCTAAGCCAGTCTAACCAGTCTAAGGTCTCAGCAAGGTGGGAGCACTGGAACCTCTCCCCTCAAGATCGACTCCAGAGAGTCACTGTGAGTCAAGAACTCCTCAAGCTGTATGACACTGATCCAGACGACTTTCTCCCCTGTCTGGTGACTGGGGATGAGACCTGGATTCACCACTGGGATCCTGAGACCAAGCAGGAATCCATGCAGTGGAAGTGCCTGGGATCTCCAACCACAACGAAATGCAGGAGTCAACCCTCTGCTGACAAGATTATGGCCTCAATCCTTTGGGACGCCAAAGGGATTTGCTTATTGATCACCTGCCTCACAAAACTTCGATTCTGGGGTTTACTATGCTGAACTCATGGTTAGACTTCGGGACGCCATCCAAAACAAAGAGCAGGAAATGTTGAGCTAAGGTGTGCTCCAGCTTCCCAATGTGCCAGTCCACAAGGCACATGTCGCACAGGCTTCCATTCATGACAGCATTTTCAAACAACTTCACCACTCACAGTACAGCCCAGATTTGGCCCCAAGTGACTATTATCTCATCAGAAATTCGAAGTCTCATCTTCGAGGTTGCTGATTTTGAGATGATAATGAGCTCAAAGTGGCTACTGAAGCCTAGTTTGAGGAGAAAGATGGAAATTTTTTCCACAGGGGCATAGTGAGTTTAAGGGAGAAATGGAGCAAGTGCATTGAAGTTGGAGGGGGACTATACTGAAAAATGAAAAATATTTCACCTTTCTGTTTTGTTCCTATACCCAAATTGCAAAAATTTTTAACAGTCTTTTGTATCTCCCAAGAAAATCATGGTGTCTCTTTTCTGATTTCATCAAGGCATATAGCCTTGACAATCATAAAACTCAACAATCCCTTCTGTGTGATATGTTGAGACCCTAAAGCAACTTGAAAGCTTGGCAGTAAAACTGACCTGGTCTGGTAATGAATGAGGTTACCCTGCAATAAGACAATTCAAGGCCATATGTTGCACTGGCAACCAAGGAAGCCATCCAAAAGTTGGGACAGATTGTTCTCCCTCACACCTTATCTGGCATCTTCCCATGTCTATTTTTTCAAAATCTTTTAATGGATGCAATATAAGGGAAATGCTTTGAGAGCATAAAGGAGTCTAAAAACACCAATGACAGTTTTCCAAGCAGGAATGCATGTCCTCATTACACATTAGTTGGGAGTGCATTATTGCCAATGACAACCACATTTAAAAATGTGACATGAAGACATAAACTATGAAATGAACACAGCAAGTATCTGCCTACAAAGGTTCATGAGTAAGAGATGAAGTACCAATGAAAAATGACTTTTCTGTTATCTTTGAAGCAAAACCCTCTCAAATGCCCCATGGATTTCCAGTAAGTCAGTTTTTTATTTCAATGGAATTAACATGTGTACAAGTTAAAGCCTAATGCCTCACTGAAAGAGGCATCTAACTAGAGCCATACCTCCTGAAATTGGGGAAAGGTACAGGTAATGCTAGAAAGTGGTAACCTACTTACTTTGAGCACCCAGGAGAGGAGAACCTCATAGCGATGATGATGGATTTTGTGCTTAGCCAGGACCCTCTGAGTCATTGGAATGAACACTTCATATTTTTTCCCCAGTTGGAGAACAATGGCAGCCAGTGTATCCAAAGCTGCATTACGCAGCTCAGCACATGTGTCCATGGTACGAACCAAAGGATGGATCAACCTGGAATTGAGTTATTTCTTCTCATTGTATGCATGCTCAAGAGATTTGATACAGACAGTAGGACAAAATGACAGACTTGACAGCATAATCAGAGAAATCCAAAGAATCACTAAGCTGATCCACTGTTTCCAGGGCACAGCGTCGGACAGGGATGGGGACATCAGGTGCATCAAATAGTCGGATGATTGGAGGTAAAATCATGTGGATGTACTCACTAAGGCTGCTCCCAAATTTCTTTACTGCATTCAACATCTGAACAGCATAAAAACCTTCATGAGGCAATGCAATCTATGAATGGTCCTTCTACATGACAAGGATACCTAACCTTGAGGGTGACCTTCCTGCCAGGGCTGGCATCATGAAGGAGGATACGAAGGATGTGGGGGATGAGCTGAGGTAGAAAGACCTTCAGTTCACACCCAAGAGCAGCTGCCATGTGTTCCACCAAGAAGATCAATGTTGTCTGCAGAGGACTGTTCACTGTCCAAAATTCCTAACTCAAAGAAAAGAATCCCATTAACATGCAATGGTGGTGGAACTTTTATCTTATTAACAAAATGGAGGCGAGGAACTACCGAGACCTTGATAAGCTGGAAAATGTCCTCAAGGTAATTTCGAATGTGATGCTTGACAACGGTGATAAGAGTAGCAAGCTGCTTGAAAAGAAAATCTCGAAATGGAACATCGGCTGTACGAATGACATTTAGAAGACAAGGGATGACTTGTGAGATGTAGGGAACACATTTCACTCCAAGGCTCTTGAATATTGTGGTCACTGCCTACAAGAGATAATATTGCATCTCAGGAAAACAAAACATTCAGAAATCACAGCCTGATTGATGATAAAACTCACTGGGACAACAAGGGTATGATGCTGTGACAATGATGGGTCTCGAAGAATCTTCATCAGCATTACAATGGTGACAGCAGGATAAAATTCTTCCAGTGAAGATGCTGTCATGTTCATACTCACCAGAAGTTCACTGGTTGTCATTTCTATTGGAAATAAAAGCAATCTGTCACTAATGTGTGAATCAAACTTTGGCCAATAAAACATTAAAAAAGTCATGGACATTCACTCAACCTTGATGAATGTCAGATTCAGATTCATATGGAATGGCATCAGCTGCAAGCTGATCTCTGATGATCCCTCGGGACATCTTCTGCTCGTAAGGATCCAAAGCACCAAGCAAACCCAAGACCCGAATTGTCTCTTTCCTATTCACAGCAAAAATATTACCAGTACTACCCACTGCAACAGTCAATCCCCAGGTGATTGAGATGTCTATTTTTTTAAGTGATAGTCACCTGATATTTGGAGCTTGCTCAGTTTTGAGGAGATCCAGAAGGATATCCAATAATTGGGGATGTGAATGATAAGGCTGGACAACAAATCCTGTACTTTCCACAACCTGACCCAGAGTCCATAAAGCTACTTCTCTTTTCTGAGGAGAACTGGAATCAACAAGTAGATCCAATAGAAGGGGCAACAGTTCTCCAATCCACTTTCTCATCTCCAATCCAGACACCTGGGCCTGCTCCCCAATTGCAAGAAGAACCTTGACCACAACACCTGGATTTGGGTCAGGGTCCTTGAGTTGGGCAACCAACACCTTCATGATGGGATTCAAGTAAGGCTCAAGGAGGTAGGAGGAAGTTGCCACCAGATGTCCTAGGAGGTGTGCACTCTGTTCTTTGTTCCTACCAACTCCACTGTACTCAAGCTCTGTGAGGAGCTGCAATAATGTCTTGCGAAGGGATGGCATGACATATGCCGGGTTCCTCTCTGACAACCGTCCCACAACACAGATGGCACGCTCCCTCACTTGGAACACTTCATCATTGGCAGCATAAAGTAATGCCTGAAGGTTCTCAGCCTGGGCCAGGTGACTATCAAACTCTTCTTCCAGACATTCCAGAACACAAAGGCGAATCTCTGGCTCTGTCAAAAAAGGAAGACAAAACACAGAAAGATCAGAAGTATAATAAGTTCCAGCAGTGCACCTTTGCCCAAAAGTCAAGTTATATTTCTCTCTCAAGTCCAATAATGAAGAACACAAAATTTCTCCACAATAAGTGCATTTCTATATCCTATGCACTATTCTATGGTTCATAAAGTCCTTACTTCAAGTGTAAAAACAGGCTGATTTACTGGCAATTAATAATACACTCGGGGAGTACAAGGGCCTCTGGAAACTCCTTAGATATCTACAAATTCATGACAAAATTTGAGACTTGATACTATCCCTCACCTCTTTCTTATTATCCATGAAGAATCTATTAAGAGCACCAGTTCCCTCAAGGACAGGAACAACTCCCTTTGTGCACTCATATTACTTACTAAAAACATAGGAAGAGTCATTGTAAAACTCTGCTAGTTCCTCATCAGGTATAACTTATGATTTCAATTCCATGTGCAGATTTTCCTCCCTTAGCAAATCCTCAAACTGTGGCAAATGAAACTCTGCATAACTACTGAAAAAAGCAAACTATCATTGAAAGGCGGCATTGGTTTATATGCACAAGATTTGAGGGTTGAGTATAAGTGTACATCAGCTAACTAATTATTCATGGCAGTGAGGGTAATAGCAGCAAAAACACCTGCCTGAGCATCTGCTCTTTGGAAGGCAAAAGGAAGATGAAAAATCTGATTTCTAAAAACAGAATGTGATATGGAGGATTTCCTGTTCTTGACATGAGGTTTAATAAAAGAAAGTATAAGGTTCTTCACATTGGTCATAATGATAGGTCTCTAAATGAGTTTGGCAAAGTTAAACTGGAGGAAGCAAATGGGGAGAGAGTTAGGGATCACCATTGATGATTACCTCAAGTTCTCCTTGCACAAGCAAGCAATGGTAGCTAAATGTAACAGGATTCTAGGCTTCACCCAACATTCCATGCCCAATAAAAGCTCGCATGTCATTCTTCGATTGTATACAGTCTTGGTAAAACCCCATTTAGAATATTGCATTCAATTTTGGAGGCCTGCAAATAAATGTGAACTAATGGCACTCAAGAGGGTGAAGAGGCATGCTATGAAAACAATCAAGGAAGGTGGACTTCCATATGAAAGATATTTAAAAGTGTTGGGGACTGTACTAGCTGGAGAGAAGGTTAATGAGGGGAGGATCTCATCCAGGTATTTAAGTTCACTTAGGGAATTGATAAAGTAGAGCATGGTATGTTTTTCATGCTCAATGGCAGCAACAGAATGAGAGGAAACCAACTCAAGTTGCATAAACCCCAGGTGAGGCTCAGATGGAAACAAAACTTCTCCACTTGTAAATAAGTGAATGTGTGGAATGTGTTAAGTGATGATGTAGGAGCAGCCTCTTCCATGACAATATTTAATACTTTCAGTCCTAGTGATTTCAATGCAATATGGGTTATACCCATCATTTGACAAGCACAGGGCTCAAAGTGTAAAGAAGTAGTTAGTTGCCTTCATGGAAAAAGCAAAAAAAAGGTGCTATGTAAGTCTAAGTGACAAGGCAGTAGGTGGATATGTTCCTACAAAACACCTTTAAGAGGGGTAAGCCTATCTTATCATACGTGAACGCCTAAACCTTGACACGAAATGTCCTAAGGGGCAAAATGTCTCTTGCTGTCCCTACCAAAACCCTGAACCTCACTTGTGAAAGCCAGAGACACCAAGCATCTTGCTTCATTCCATTCAAGGAAAAAAATTTTCCCTTCTGACATGCTAGGAATTCCTACTGCAGGTATAGAAAGTCACCCAAGGATGGATAGAAGGTGAAATAGTGAGCTATTAGGGAAAGAGTTATTTTTTTTATAGATGCACAGACTCAGGCCAAGATAAGAGAATATGCAAGGTTTTTGCCCTCTCCTCATGTTCTTTATTGCATACCCTAACCAAAGGAACTGAATTGTTCCAAACCTAGACTGACAGTATACCCCAATTTAGCATGAGAATACCTAAAAACCAGACAATATTTATGCTAAATTGTACTGGGTGTTTCAAAAGTCACTATCCCTGTTGATGATCACACCAAGAATACCAATGGCCACACAGCACTGTGAAAATTCAAGTGCAGATTAATTTGACCATGGGGAAGGTCATGCACCTAATAGTGACACCCCATGGATATGGGTATAAAGGCCACTGTCACAAAACCTGAAGCAGTTTTTCAACAAGCCAATAAAATGATTGAGCAGTCTTCATACAACATGGTGTCCCATCTCACATTGCAAACCAAGCAAAATGTGTTCTTGTGGCCATTTTCAGAGACCATGTGATCAGCCAACACATTGAACCACTTTGACACAGTGAACCTTTGACCTATGATCCTGGCCTGGAAAATCTCCTAACCTCATCCAAGCAGACTCCAGGATTTGGTGTTGTACAACTAATGGAAACCACATTGAGCATCTATGAACATTTTTTTATGACATCAAGAGCATGGGTGCATCACCCCATTGTCAAATTGATCCACACACTGAGTTTGGTACCTCTTCATTCAACAATAGGCTCTCTATGGCTGCATAAACTGTGGAAGCTACTTTTGACATGTCTGGTATTTTTTCTCATGGTTGTATAGCACAAAACAACTTACCAGGATCAGTGATGGAAACATTGAGGAGAGATGAGAGAACATTGGAGACAGTAAGAAGAAGGGTTGGGCTTTCAATGTGATGATTCTTAGATGCAGATGCCATTGCTGACACTAAAAGATGAGAACATGTCCATACTGCCTCTTTTCTCACCTCTTTTTCCTCACTTCGCAGGTATTCCTCAGCACAATGCTTCACAAATGGAAGCAGAGAATGGCCTGTAAAGAGACCAATAAGCACTTCAGTGAACCCCATAATAATTATCTGATCCTTGCAATCAGGGAGATCATTTTAAAATCTCACCCTCAAAGTCAAAAGTGCCAAGGGTATGGAGAGCAAGGACAATACTCCCAGGGTCCCCTGGCTGAGAATCAACATAACTATGACTGTGACCTGTTTTCTTCCCCACTTTGCCATGCAGAATTTGTGACAGCACTCGAAGCAGACTTTCAGCTATCTCCTGCTTCAGCTGTGGAATCTGATCCAGACAGGAGGAAATTTGTCTCACTGTAGCTCATTACATATATGGTTGACAAAAAGGAAAAGGGGTCATTTGTGGTTTACCTGCATGGCAAGCTCACTGAGAGCAGCTGTGAGAGGAGGAGAAAGTCCTGTTGAGAGCATGGGATTGAGAAGCTCCTTAATCTCTAGTTCCAAGTGCGATCCAACAGCACGGGCCAATAGTGACAAACAGGTGAACATGCTGGGGTCAATAGTGGTCTTCTTCTTGTCCTTTTTCAATAATAAAATATATTTCAGACACTTTTTAAAATAGCAGCCAAATTCACAGAGAGAGGAAGACACACTTTGGAGAGAATGCTGAAGCGAAGGACATCCATGATCTTGGGCAGATATGGGAGGATGTTATCCTTGCTAGCAACAGCTAGAAGTCCCATGGCAAGAAAAGCATTGCTTCGTTCTCTATCCCTTCTCACACAAAGAAGCACATGTGACATGCTCTCCTGGAGGTATCTGAGAAACAGGAACAGCAATCAAGTTCTCACCTTAGCTGCCAAGGCCAACATACACAAAGTACAAAAAACAACAGACTGGGAGAGGAAACCCTGAGGATTAAAAGCAGCCAGTCGAGGAAGTAGGGCAAGAAGGATGAGTTGAACATGGAGGCTCCGACTTCCCTTCTGCTTCAGAACTTGAGTAGTAATGGGATGGAAGTTTTTTGAGATGAGGCTCCGACATTCAGAGCTCTCATGAAGTCGTGGCTGATGCATTTTCAGTGACAGGTCTATCCCAGACATACTCAATGGGGCAGTTGGAGAGAGGAAGGGATTTGCATGACCTCGCATCACCAATGGAAAGGAAGGCAAGCGAAGCCTCCCACCTCCACTCAATGAATCCTAACAAATTCAAGTCCCACATCATGCAGGTCCAAGACTAATTTTTGAATCCCTAAAACATGCTGCACCCACCTTTCTTGCATGACTCTTGGGCATGGCCATTTTGCTCAGGAGGTTTTCCTGCAATTCTTCAAAGTCTAAGTTGGCACATCGAAGGAGCTCATTGAGAACAAGAAGGGCTCCATGTGTTCTATCATCACGATCCTTGTTGGGTGCTTCATCCAAGATTTGATGAGCTTCTTCCAAACATCTTTTATACCTGAAAGACATGCATACATCATGCAGCAATGCAAGATAGAATAAAGAGAATTCTTTAGAATATGGATATTGACAAAAGTTAGGCACACATCACATCAATTTGTGGAGAAAAGCCCATTAAAGCAGGTATGCTTTTCTGATCAATTCAGTTCTCAGGGAGAACTCACCAAGTAGGCTGGAGAGCCTCTTTCCCCTCTCTCTGTGATGTGATTCGTAATGCTGATCGGAGAGCAGCAACAGCTGTCTCTCGAATGAGTGGCTTGGGATCACGTACTGCGTGAAAGATGGAGTCAAAAAACTGATTGATTTGCTGGAAGAAGAATGTGGGCATTACACCACTCAACTCCCGCAAGACCAGCACCTAAAAAAAAAAATACAATGTTCTCCTTTAAAATTTCACAACTTGGAAAGAGATTTTGTGGCAGAATAATGAGACCACATACTGCAGCCAGGCGCTTTCCCTCATGTCTCTCAGCAGCCAACCACTCAAATGCTCTCTCCATTTCATATATCCCAAATTCATAGGTCCCACTGACCAGGGCAAAGCGGGCAACAGCCTTAGCAGCCAGTTCCATTACTCCTGGATCATTGGAGGGTAAGAGGTTTCGAAAGATGTGAGCACACCGTGACATGAGGCGAGAGGTGATCACCACATCTGCACTTGTCAGGTTCACTGGCAGTAAAAAATGAAGATCCTATGTGAGCAAGGTTCTGAATGCTATAGGAATTGAAGGAGAAGAAAACAAATTGGGGCTCACTGATGGCAAGGATGGCTCCTTTGACCTCATTTGGATCAGAGCTATTGACCATCTCAGATACAACTTGAAAGACATGCTCAAGAAAAGCATTGAAGTCTTCTTGAGGAACTTCTCGCAAGTCAGTCGTCACCTAAGGTGGTACCAACCATGCATTACTTCCCTTGGATGTATGGCACACTACAGAGACTTTATAAAAGCAATACAGGTTCCCTTGTTGGCTCATTGTACCAAAGGTCAATTTCTAAATTTTTTCCTTCAGAACTTCTACAAATACATGGTGTATGTTTTCATAATATTCAATAATTCCTTAGCCATTTGATTCATTTTTCACATTGCCTATGAACTTCAGCAATTCATTTTGTGAAAGAACATAAAAGCACTTCACTCACATAAGTGTAGAGATCCTGAGCAGCCTTGAGACGAGTTTCTTCATGGCGAGACTTGAGCCCAGCCACAATTTGCTGCTGGATGACCTGTCCGCTCATGTTTCTTTGAAACCAGTACTTTCAAGACTTAGTAAGTTCTCTCATCTATTTCCACATCAACAACAGCTTTAACCAAATTTAACCCATCACAACTTAGGCCTATAAGTGCAAACCACAAATGGTGGCAAGTGTCCACAGAGGATCTTTGAGAATAAAAAGGCCTTGGGAATTTGCAACCCAACCAGGAGTCAAGAAACACCCTGGACCTCATAGCTTGGCAATAGGATTCCACAGTGACTGGAGGAAATGGGACAATCCAAAGGCATTCTATGATTGAAAAGGATTTCAGATAAAATTCCAATCATGCATGTACATTCCAAACAAGATAAGGTCAAACTCTAGAGAATAAAGTTCAAGAGACACCCAAGAGGTCAGTAGACCACATAATTTATCACCAATGTAGGCTTGAATATGCTGTATGTAGGCAGATCTCAAGGCAAAAGCTTTTCCACACCAATCATGAGTCTGAATTTTCACCTGTGTAATATAAAGAGAAATAATTCAGAGCCAACTGGAACATCTGAGCATAAACTTAAATACTGCTACTAGGGTTTAATGTAATGCTAAACATGGATGTCACAAAGTATTAATGTGACTGGTGTTTGCCAACACATCTTTGCCTGCTCGTGGGTCCATTATTATTGAGCCAGTCCCTTAAGCTGAGGTGCTGACAGATGTGTGCATAAAACACCATTGACATTTCCACCTTTTAGGTAGGTTTACTGATAAAACTGGAGCTGACTCCCAGACTTAACACTGTGCCTTAAGAGGATCAGGTTGGCCTAAACTACCTGGCTTGGCACGAGCAGCTTTAGTCAACTTGTGGTTCAATTCTTCATAGAAGACCTCTGTGTATCTCTTGCTGACCTTGTGAAGCAATGCATATGGAGTTTCAAAAGTATGACCACCTATACTGTCTCTGACGTCATGCTTCTCCCCTACAACGCAGAATCCTGCAACTGACATTTCAACACAAAATTCCTGTTCTTCTAAAGTGGTAACATTTAGGTGAACGGAAACTTCTGAGATAGGTATTTCTTCCGAAACCCCAATAAATTTTACTCCTCTCTTCACATCCTCGATCACACCAAATGCCTCGATACGCCATCGTTCTCGTCGGTCATTAGAAGTTTGGCCCTTTTCACATTGACAGGAATCTTCCATGAGAAGGCTTTGGCCTGAACTTCAGGAATTTCGCCTTAAAATTGTCTGTAGAATCGAGGAGAGTGGAAAGAGTGAGCTATCCTAAATAGACCCTGATCAATGCCTTAGACCTTGCCATAACATAGACTACCACGTGTAACAACACAATTACCCTGGCAGACATAATATCACCATGGTTGCCGGTTGCCAAACGTTCAAACGAGTTTTAAGTTATCCCGTTGGCTCTCAAGCTTGGATTCAATTCAATCGTCACATCATATTTTTACAGCTCGCAAACTGTATACTCGAATACTAGAGGAGGGATGTTTATCGCGTCACTGGGAGAGCATTTAGAAAAGCTCGGCTCCTAGGACTGTTCGGAGCAGATATACTCGGGAAGGGTTCCGCTCCCAGCTATCGTTTTGGAAGCCTCTCAAGCATACGCGTAGCGTGGATGGGAAAAGTGGGGGGAGCACAGGATATAAGGGATGGTGGGGTACGGGAACTCTGGGATACTGTTATTATACATTTCTGAGTCTTATCCTTTTTTGGCCTCTTTTCTTGAAAAGTGGGGGGGGGGGGGGGGGGCACGTGCCCCCCGACGCTACGCCGCTGCTCTCAAGCACCCAGTGAGTGACATCGAGAGTCAGCAATTTGCTGGGGGGGGTCCCTAGGTCACCAGTCCGACCCTGGTCCACTCCGCTGAATTCTCTTATCAATTTAAAAGTCTGCCTTATCTACCTTCCGAAAACTCTATTTTAAATGGAGTTAAAAATACATGGAATCTAAGAAAGCCCCGACTTGCGTAATGACCCTATCATCGGTAGCACCTCATTAATAATCAAGAGGATTTTTGTACATTCGCTTATGGGATGTAACATTTGACGTCGCAGCATTATTGCCATTCGTTATCTTCCTCTGTAGGGAGAAATAGTTGCATTTTCTATTACGAAACAATTTCCAGCGATGTGTTACCTCTCCCTGCATTATTTTGTCTTCAACTTGACCCCAATGCCGATGCTTTCACGAACGTCCTTTCGTGCAACATGGACGGCTCAACTAGGCCAGGATGGGATATTCTCAAGATGAACCAAAAAGTTCGCCTATTTCCATTTGATTGCATCATCCGTACCTAATGAGGACGTACTCGTTCGATTCCGAGGAGACAGAGTATTACTCTTCCCAGATCGTATGCAAACTGTATCAAGGAAATGCAACCTACAGTTTTTGCGCAATAACTTCTTTGCGACGCGAGGAAAAGAGTCGCAGTTGAGCGCGCATGATTTCCTTTCACGTGCTCGGGGAAACATCCTTGGCGCAGTGGCTCAGGGAAATCGAGCTGGGACGGGCTAGGCTGCCAGCGGGTGGAGAGGTATCAGTTCATTTTTTATACCCCAAATGTCATAAATGCGTCTTCATTAATAGGAATGCAGAAATTAATTGAAAGAAGGTGGCCTTTCTTCGGCCCACCTTGACAGAGCTGTTACATTGATTATTTTATTTCACTCCCTTAACTCCCCTTCACTCCTTATTCAACATTTCACTCCCTTAACCCCCAACACGATCCTATCTAAGGGCTACTGCTTCTAGCAGTTGTCACCCCGATCATATCCACTGTCATGCTTGTCTTGTTGCGCAGTTGCCTACATGCATGTAACTTTTCCTTACTTCTCAGCCTAGAATGCCAAATTCTTGTTTTCTACTGAATTGCGATAGTAGGTTTAAAAAAAAAAATTTTTTAACGCGCCAACAGGAAATGCACCATGTCACGGTACCACAGCAGTATACCAAACCAATTTCAAACTGACCCCATGTGCTGGAAAGGGAGAACCTCCTTCACGGACGTGGTGAGTTGAGGGTGAGCATTGCCCTTCAAGGAATTCGTATCCCGATAGTAAAGACAAATTCCCTTTCCAAAACTCAGCATGGAAAGAAAGTTCAAGATGAACTCTCGTCTCTGACATGTCTGTAATAAAATGTCAGAGCAAATTTATGTCAACCATGCATAAAATGGCATCCTCAAAGAAAGAGATGAATACTGCCTCCAAGATAGCACAATGGATGGAGAGGGACACCAAGTGAAAATTCCTCATGAGCGCCAGAGCGCAAAGAAATATTGGTTTGCATGCGGACAGAATCAAGTGTTGGATCTCCACCCATCTACAGGAAGATATTGGCATCTAAATCGATACAACGATCAACATGAACCAATAAAGCAACAACAATCTATGAAGTGATTGAATTCCTGATACGAGGATTTCTGTTTCGATTTCCACATTGCCGTTGGTTCGCTGTTCGGCTTTCTCCTATTTTATTTTCGACGAGCCTGAACTGAGAACTCAACGAGGAAGGAACATTACTATAATTTATGCGATTTCTCCCATGGATGGACTTATCCATTTGAAGTATCTGAATGGAGATCTCACTATATAAATTATTGGAAACTTTCTAGGTGAAACGAATGCAACGATTGGATCAGAAAAACGAAGCTGTCTTCATCGTGGAAAACTGTATGGCTGACCGAAGATTGATCCTCCGATGTCCTTCCCATTCAATTCATTTTTTTCTCCATTCAAATCAGACGATGAGAGGTTAGGTTCTCTATCATCTCCCATTGCTGGAAACCACCATGTAGCTGCTCGAATTGTGTATTTGGCGCAATATCGCAGAAACATTCTTGAACAAATTGTACTTGACGCAATAGATAATAAATAAATAGAACGGCCGATCTATGCTGAGGAACATGCTCAACCGTCTACATGAACAGGTCATCAAATGCACAAGTCATTTCCAAATAAAGTCGTTTTTTCCACGCCAAGGATGAGAAAGAGACTTTGTTGGCCTTCACCGTCTGGTTTCTTCGTGTTTCTCCTTCCCTTGACGCGAATTAATCGAGGGGAATGCTCATCCTCTGTTCATCACATCCATGGAGGCTCTCGCTTTCCGTCCCATGGGGTCCGAATCAAATTTGCTTGGTACATTTCATATTTGGGTACCTCCCACGTCAGTAACAGATTTATTATGAAGGAAGGTGGCAGATGGCCATGACTTCTGTTTCCTGAACATGGCGTCTTTTTTGTTTGCATTTTACATTTTCAGGGAACCTTTCCTTGAAAGTTCTCCTGGGAGTGTTCATCCTCTTTCTAAATTCATGCATCCGTTTACGGTATGCTGTAGGTTACGGAATAGCATTGGGACAATTGCTTTCGTCATTATTTAATTAGGCTTTGAGATGTACGATACACGAAGATATGGATTTAAATATTTACCAGAGGTGGGTTTCAGGCAAAGCAGCGGTATTCAAAGTTCGGCCCAGTTGCAGATTTTAAGAAAATAAAATTGAACATTTTCAGAAATTGGATTCCTTTGAGTGATAAACGCTTTAGCCAAATGAGGCAAGTTTGACCTTGCGCCCGGATATCGGTATCCTGTAGCTGGAGAGTGAAAGGGGGAGGGAGGTGTGAAACTATTCCGGTTTGCAGGTAAGGAGTGCTAGAATAGTGAGACGCAATGAAGGAGACCTTAGGTCATGAAAGCTGGTCACAGCGATTCACTGGTTCGCAGCCTTCATTCAATACCTTGCGAGTGTGTTTTTGCCAATTTCATTACAGTGTGCGCTGTCAATCACTGCAGTGTAGTTTCTCGCTACTAACACAGTTGGAGTCAATTAAAAGAAGCGGCGAGCATGAAGACGAGAAGCTAGTGTTGGAATGAAGAAATTGTTTCCATACGTGGAATGAATACAGGAAGTGCTTTGTATATTTTGTGCAAAGATGCCGCTCGTGCCTTGGAGCGTTATAATTTGGATCGGCACCACTCGATGAAATTCACTCGTGATTTTCTCTGTGGCTCCAAAA